TAAAATCGTCTCGTTTGTCATAGATTCCGGTACTGACGTCTAAAAATGAGGCGGAGGAAGCCGTGTCTGTTGTTTCTTTAATTTATAGTTGTGATGAATATAATAATGGAACCCAATCAGAAAAGTTTGTATTGTTAATGGAAAGAACATCATCAATATTTCTGAATATGAAATTGAATTACCTGGCTTCTTTTATCTTCTTGTTTTTGACAAGTGTCTGAAGGAACTCAGATTCATATGAAAATAAGAAGAGGTCGGCAAGGAGAGGCGCACCGTTCGTTCCCATAGGCATTCCGACAATTTGTTGAAAAAGTCTACCTCCAAATTCAACAAATATGTTGTCAATAAAAAACTCCAGCATTCTGATCACTTGTTCCTCTGTGTAACAAGTTTTACCTTTATGTTCATTATTAACAAAATATGCCGTATGATATCCCAAAGTAATACATTTATAGCGTATGCTACCATTTTCCTGTTGAAAAGCATTGTGGATTATTTCTTTTAGACGATTTTTCAAATTCACACGAGGAATGGTGGTATACAGGGTTGAAAAATCTAAAGTTTTGATAGAACTAATTTCAGACGAGATCGAGATTAAAAATTATCCAGAAGTTCTTTAGAGTTTTTTAGAATCCACAAATGGTTAATACCACTACGCGAGTAAACAGTTGCACAGTATTTCTGTAGACCCTCTCTCACTGCGGACATAATCTTTGTCAATTTAATGGACAATTCTTTAGTCGAACATCCATATCAGCCGGCAATGTACCGTTGTTTGTACGGAATTTTGTGAAGTTTAGGTATCAAATACAAACAAGGTAGGTCCACCGATTTGTTGTTTAATGTAATGTTCATTGAAGCCACGAAGAACTTATGTTTTGCTAAAATCTCATCCTTGTCAAATGATATGTTTTTGTATGTGGGATTACCTGAGTGCTCATTTATTTCTAATTCTTTAACAAGACACTCGTAGTAGTACGATTTACATCCAAAGACAATAATATTTTAAGCTGTGTCCGCAGGAACAACAACATACTTATTGCGAAGAGATGATAGACATTGCACAGCCTCTTTGTCTCTGAAAACGGAATTTGGTCGATCGGTCACACAGTTTTTCAACTTATGAATGCGACGTTTTATCAGAGACCTGCTTGTTTTGACCCATTCTTACAAAGCGTCAATGGAATCCATAATTATTTTGAAGTTATGTTTCCAAATGATGTGTTTGGGTTCTCTAAACATAGAACCATGAGGTATCACCTTTCGGAGATTTTCACGTTGAATTATGTTTAGGTCCCCAGTAATAACATAACCAGATATGTTGTAAATATAAGGCGAGTGGGAACAGTCACATGTCAGAGGGCTGTTTAGGTATTGCTCTAAATCAAGGTCCTGCAATGCTTGTTTATAGTTAAATACTTTGGGTGCAATTGTTTTGGTGTAACTGTAGGATACAATAGGAACAGACTGATTTTGAAAATAAAGTGGAATTTTAGATGTTACTTCTTTGTGACGTAGAACGTTGCAGATGTTGATTGCATCAATTCCTCTATTGGTAAACTGAACAGAAAGGAATTTCCTCTTTTCCTCGTGTAAAGGTTCCGATCTTACTGGTTTAAAAAGACGGACAAGAGCTACATCAGAAATTATACTGACAAGTCTGTATATTAGAGAAAATGTATGTATGCATCCTTTGTCAAGTGCACAGTCTCTCAAACATTTTAGAAAATTAGTAGGCAGTGAAAAAAGAACAATTTTAATGTAATGTAACCCTAGCGGATGATGAAGATGTGAAATAAGGTCATCAAAGCTCCCAGAAGGCGATCTCGATTTGGAAGACTTTTTCACATTAGGCCGATGGTAATGTTTTTGCCCATGACTACGTTGTTGTCGTAAGGTAGTATTAAACAAGCTCATTACATTAACATTTCTGCAGTTTGGATTTGACAAAGGTCCTACTCCTTTGATATTATCATTGCAACCATATGGCATTGCAGTACCTAGTTCCCTTATCCAGAAATTTTCTCTATTTTTTCGGAAAGGGGTACTAAGTATAGAGCTATTCTTGTGGTGATTAATTTTCTCGATGATGCGTACTTTCATAGATAAAGAAGGATCATCATGTACTTACTCTTCTTGAGGTAAATCGATTGGTATGGTTTGTTCATATAGATAAAAAATATGTGACCTATTTTGTTGTGACTTTTATATTATCACAGGTAAATTTCTAAAAATATAATAGATTTGTTTAATTTATAGACCCATACACGAATATCAAATTGGGATTGAGTTTGCAATGAGGTTAATTTATGTGTTTTCTAACCATGACATGAATACTAAATTGGACTTATGTAATATTTGTATATCTTCTAAATCAAAACTGTGTATCAACCAACAAATCTTGTGCATATAGTTGCTTTAAACTTAAAATCATGTAAATGAAGTACTAGTAGCTGATTTTTTATTTTAACGTTTTACATGCATATAGAAAATTAAAAAAAAACGCGACTATACTGACAAATAAGACTCATATAAATTGTACCGAAAATACAGATTTCAAACCACAAACGAAATAAACAGACAACAGCTCATCACAAAAAGACCCTACGGAACCACACGTATAAAAAGGTGACAACAAGTTGCTTGAAAAAAGTAACCTAACAAAAATACCGAGGAAAATTTGGAAAGTCCCTAAGCAAATGGCAAAATCAAAAACGCAAACACATCAAACGAATGGATAACAACTGTCATATTCCTGACTTGGTACAGGCATTTTCGTATGTAGGAAAATGGTAGATTAAACCTGGTTTTATAGCTAGCTAAACCTCTCACTTATATGATAGTCGTATGATATTCCATTATATTGAAAACGATGTGTGGACAAAACAAACAGACATATAAGGTAAAAAAGTCAAAAAAGAAGTACAGCAGTCAATATTGTGTTATAATCTTAATTACTATAAAAACAAACAAATATGTCAACAAAGACAAACAAAAAGGCAAACAGACAAAGCACATTAGCAAAAACGAAATACAAGAATACAAAAAATTACCATATCACAAGAACACAATGACAGGATGTGTAAGTACCGAGCCACGTCAAATGGGTATTGAAAGAAAATGGACTAAACTGTAACAGTAATAATTTATAAAGACAAATAAAAGAATACCATAACACGTTATTAAGATAATAAACAACGTCAGTACCTAGAATCTGTACTTCAAAATCATCGTGTTTTATTTGTGAAGTTGGTACGGAATATGTATCAACAAGTTCTTGGTATCTTTTGAGAGCGGGATATATGAAAACAGAACCACGTCGTCTCCAAGAAAGAACATAATACATAAACAAATATTCAACCGGACTTACACAAAAGATTGATCATAACAAAATACATGATATATAAATACAGAGAAACGTAGTATAGCAATGGAAATCCAATCGCATCACACCAATCTTGTTCAGGAATAGGTCACTTTCGGTACTAGCATACCAGACGACAAAGATGTTCAACCACAATTTAAGACGTTGTAAAAATGTTGGAAGTTAGTTAAGACACAGTGTTCAGATCAACCAATTTGTAATGGTGTCCATAAAATTTACGGATTGCCATTTTTAATATATCCTCCTTATAACTCTGTTGGAACAGTTTCTGCGTAAGGAACACATTCATGTTTATGACGTTCGTATACTATGAACATGCACGAGCATAACGTATCAATACGCTTGATTCCAATTGTTATCTTTCGGATAGGAGACGTTATTTAAAGTCATTTGTGCGTTTGTTGGGCATAATATGTACGTCAGTATGTTGAGCTAAGGGATGCACAATCTAATGGGCATAACTTCTTTATGATTTCGTCGATAACTGTTTTTAGGAGACAAATAATATATTTCTTTAGGCAGGATTGGATTATGTACATATGAATAAAAACGGATGTTTGACACATGTCAAGCATTCTAATTAAATTTATCAGTTAATAGATGCAGGGATCCAGTTTGCCCATAAAAAGTTAAAATGACGTGAAAAAATCAGCTAATAGTAAAAGAGTATTTTTGGTAATGAAAAACGTTATTTCAAGTCATGTGTGTGTTTGTTGGGCATAATATGTACGTCAGTATGTTGAGCTAAGGAATGCATAATCTAATGGGGATAACTTCTCTATGATTTTGTCGATAACTGTTTTTAGGAGACAAATAATATATTTCTTTAGGCAGCATTGGATTATGTACATATGAATAAAAACGGGTGTTTGACACATGTCAAGCATTCTTATTTAACTTATCAGTTAATAGATGCAGGGATTCAGTTTGCCAATAAAACGTTTAAATGACATGAAAAAAATCAACTTATAGTAAACGAGTATTTCTGGTAATGAAAAAATTATGGAAATCAAACGTTTGTTGAAATATTAATCTCCCAAACGCAACAGATATGTTCTAGATCACAACGTCTAGCCTTTTAATATCATCTTCAGTGTAGGTAGACTGCTAAAAAGACATATGCCAGAAGCATTTTTAAAGGATGCAAATGAAGGGAAAAATAAGGAATTGGAAATCTAGTACAATTAATGTTGAATTTATATGGAATGTATAGCTCACAATGGTAATTTTGGCACACATTATGCTTGGTACAGGTAGTAACTGCAGTATTGTATTTAACTTTCGTCCAATTTTCAAATAAATATTTTATATCCATAACTTGATAATTATATTGAGTAATTAGACAGTAGAACTGAATTTAAATAACGCAAATCGTATTTTCAAAATAAATTACCGAACAGTAAATATATATTTGATTATAACATAGAGCTGACATTGAATTCTAACATAATTGATAACTATCATACTGAAATGATTCATGTAGCTGGTAATCAAAACAGCGTAAAATGTCTTGTTAAGAGTTTACAATGAAAAATATGTATTCAACTCTGAATAAAATGTAACTAACTTCTATATGTCGGTCTTATATAGACCACCCACTTCACAGACCGCAATCGATGTCAAACCTAGTTAGAAACAAAAAGTACCCCTACAACATAAAGCCCAATTAATACTGGGAATACAACGCATAATATCTCGAATTTTATCTTGCTTTTCCCGAACAATGAACAACACAGACTTTCTATAAATCTAGAATAAATATCACACGTGTGGGCATTATATTCCTGTTCGCAGCACGATATAGCAGCACACAGAATAAGAGTCTTCTGCAAAATTGCAATGTTCTCCATATCTAAAATAAGAACGTAAAAACTAATGCTCTACGATATATGACATATATTTTTTTAGCGAGCTTGTACTAACTCGAATAATTAGAGGAAAATATTAACAAAAATAATGAACTCCTAGGTAAACAAAAGGGGAATTCCATTTTATTAGCAATTTAAAATCTCATATATAAAAATCATTTACATCGATTAATTTTTGATAAAATACTTACAAGTTAGAGTGAATTCAATTTTGTCTATTTGTCTCGTCAATAAATCAATTGTAGCTACTACATTCTGCTCATCGACGTTGGTTATCTGAAAAAAAGAGGGGACAAACAAGATCATTATATCGACCAGGTACACGTGACATGTAATCCAGTCTAAAATTCAAGTAAAATATATTAATTTATTTTTCTCTGTTTATATGACTAATCGATTGTTAAGTATTTAAAGCCATTTTTACCTCTATTTAGGCTATTTTGTAGCGGTTAGTTTTTATAAATGGAGAAAGCCGATGTTCCCAGAGAGAACCAACAACCTTTGGTAGGAAAACAGAAAGTCCTAGTCAATAAAGATTGAGGTCAACCGAATATGCCCTAGACTTTTGATACAGTAATTCGACTAGGGGCCCAGGTGGCCGAGTGGTCTAGGTTAAACCAATCGGCCACCTGGGCCCCTTCTTTGTTAACCTTTGAGTACCACTTATGTACTACTTGAAAAAAAAAATCTTATTAAATGAATGTCTACTCTTTTATCACCCGTTTTTCTTTAATAAACAGTGTGCAAGTGAATGACAAATAAAAAAAGAATACAAGAATTACTATCTAACTAATTATCATGTCTTCAATACTCACATTGATTCTAAATCCTGATGGTTTCTGGTAGGCTGTTAGCAAAAATAATGAATTCCGATTTCCTGAGCATATCTCATACTCTGCTTTGCATTTACACAGCCTGAGTTTTAATATGAGTTTCAATATGAATACAAAAACAGAATTTTAAGTTTGTGATACAAGTAGACTTACAGTATAGTGTGATCTTTTATAAATCTTGATCAGACCACGCGTATACATTTTTCAAATTTAAGTATAAGCAACACTTTGCATATCACTAGTGGAACTGCGCGTTTTTGCAAAGCTCCAGAGTGAGTTTATAACATGTTTTGTTTAGTTTTGTGTTGTAGTGTGTGATGTTGATTTCGCAATCCCCAGCTTTAATATGTTGTGTGACAATATTGTTTTCTTTTGTTGTTGTTTATTTTCAGAATATAAAAATACATAAAATATGATTTTTACTGCTTACTGTTAAAGTATTTTGCGATAAGAGACATATCCGCAATTTTTAATGGTCTCCGTTTAAAAACTCCTCCGAAACAGAAGAAGCTATGAATAAATTATAGTAACAATTATATCCTTTCTTAATGTCGTAAGTGTAATAGCAATCTAGTCTATACTAAAATATTAAAAATCGGTATGGAATGGAAATTATGTGAACACATTTTTTTTATCCAGCTTTTCGGTAAATGCATAATGCATAGTACGTACGTACGCGTTTTGTCTGCTGAAAAAAAATGATACGTGTACTTGTCGAATTGTTTTACTATTGAAAAGTCCGATTATTCCCTTCTTTCCGATATTATGGGATGCAAATAAAGTAAAAATAGTTGTTTAGAATATCAAACATTCATATAAGCAGAATGTTGCTGCACAATTATTCTTTGAACAGTAGCATTTCATTTTTTACATAATTATACTCCATTTAAAATGTTACCGAAAAAAATCAATTGTGCATTTTTATAGTTAAAATTTAAACCGAATTTAAAATTGAAAGAGCATAAAACGTGGAAATTATAGGTATGCTATCGTTCTAACCAAAAGTCGTCTAAAAAATTTTCACTTTATTAGACACGCAGAAATGAGAGGTATACAATTTCTAATTTATGATGAAAGTAACTTCACAATAAGACTGTTGGGTCCGAAGGTCATGTTTTGAAACTCTTCTAATTTGCCTGATTTCTACAAAGACCACCGGCACTTAATAAAAACATTTATGAATTCATATATGCTAGTATGATAAACTAGCAGTCAAAATGTACGTGTTGACAAAAAAGCAAATCAGTTTACGGACTTCTACAATTAAAGTTATCATTTCTAAATGGAATTCCAATAGTATCTAACTTAACTATGATAAGCTCTGAGGTAAAACTTGGTTGAATGTTTTCAGTAATTTTAGTTGTTAAAAAAAACAAAAAAAATAAATAAATGTAGATTACAATGTAGATGCAATTACCTTTTTCTGAAACATCCAAGTTTGAATCCAGCCGGGCTGTATATATTCAAAACATTTCGAAGGCATGTGCTTTGAACTTGATTACATTTCAGGATAACATTTCCCTTTTCATCGCATATGTTGAGAGAATTATTTTGATGATGATCTGAAAGACGTGAATTTATAGGCAATGTATAACTAGCAAGATTACTATGTGTAGCGGAAAGTCCCTGCGCTGCACACACTGAATTAAATTGTTTGTTACAAAATGTCATTGTTGAGTAAAAGTCTTTATATGGCAAAAGTCGCATAACTCGCATAAACATTTTTAAATTAAAGACGAAACGCGTGTCCGGCGAATAGAATTTAAATACTGGTATGAATTATGAGTTTATTTACAGTATCATATATTCAACTACACAGAATGCCATACAATTATATTAGTCATGAGAGCTTATTGTCAAATGGTATCAGATAAATTGCTTTTATAAAGTAACTTCAGTCAAAATGGTTAAATCAATATGGCGGTATTATTTGGTCCACATGATTGGAAACAATAGAACCAAGTAGGATAATTTAATATGTTTCAAATTTCTTCAATTTACATTGTGTTATTGTCACAATACTACAAAATGGTCATTGTTCGAAAACCTCTGTATAAAAGATCGACTCATAATCATGACACAGTATTGTCAACTACACATGATGGCAACATATTCTTAAGGGTATTAAAGCTTTATGTAAAACGAACATAGCCCAGCTGCCTTCAACATGTGTCACTGTTACAATACTAAAGCAAATATTCAAAGTCCAAAAACTTCCTTTAAAATGTTCGAACCAAACTGACGATATTGTAAGATCAATAGAAAACGACGACAAATAATCCCATAATCATGATATGTATGAAAGGTTTTTTCTCAACCAGTATCTAGGTATTGGTGTTTTGCGATTAGATGTACGGTTCAAAAACATCAAGTTACAAATTATGATGATTTTCCATTTGAAAAAAAAAATGTTATTACCAGTATAGCCGATATTCCAAGTGTTGGTGTACAAATTTGAAAACAAAAATATTATGGACGCTCACTCCCCCCTACTCGCGACATCTGGTGTCACAAACAAGAAAGAAAAACAAGTTTTAGAATTTGGTTAATATAATGTTGTTTAAGTACAGAAACTCACCTTGAGAAGAAGAAAACATTTTTGTTTTAAAATCTCTTATATTGTGATAACCATTTTGGGGGTTTCTATTTGATACAGGAATAGAACAGATTTGATACGCATTACACAGTCGAGGCAAATAGGAAATACCATAATATTATGAAAAAGCATAATTCTACTTACATCTTGTGGCAAATTTGAGTTATCTTTCTTAGACTCACCCTGACAATTAAGACATGGGAGATAACAACTTTTGTCTTAAAGGAAGTTGTAAGGAAGATAACTTAATATTATCATAAGTATAATTACGATACAACATAAATTTGTAATACTTATCAAGTTTGATAATCCATATATCCATTCCATATCTGTTTTACAATGATTTATTTTTGTACCAATTTATGAATTGATAAGACTTTATCGAATTATCATGATTTTTATAACTTAAATCTTTGCATAGGTTATAGTTTACAATGTTTAATCTCGCGTTCCAATCATATTATGTTTCCATTTTTATTCACAATTTCATGTTTTTGTTGTGTAATTCTTTGACGCTATCGATAAATCTTATCAGTGGTAAAACGGCAAAACCCTTGTTTTTTTATTATTATTATTATCGTTATATGCATAAACAAATTTCTGTCTGTGTTTTTCTCGTACAATAACATTTGTTGGAATTGATTGTAATTCAGAAAATATTGCATAGTGCAAGGAGATTTGGTGCCACGATATCTCAGTAGCATGAAGTCTAATCCCGACCAGGGAAGAACAAAAATTTACAGATCCAGCATTGTTGGCCTCACTATATATATATATATATATATATATATATTCATTATCATCCATGATTATTACAAAGATGTGAAACCGGTTGGTGAAAAAATGTAGAAGATTAAAGGACTTTAAGAGCATTTTGAAATTTAATTTTATTTCTTTTTCTACTAGTGTGGACGGAGAATTCAATTTTAAGTATTTATATATATATAACTCGTCTAAACATCAGCCCAACAATGTTAGATCTGTAAATTTGCTTTCGCAAATTTTTTGTTCTTCCCTTGCCGGGATTCGAACTCATGCTACTATACAAATATAAATTGAAAACAACGTTCAAAATTATAATTGCGTTGGATAGATAAAGTATATATATAGGAAAAAAAATATAGGAAAAATAAGGGTGAAAATGCACGATATATTCATATTCAATACGAATATTTACATTTTGTCTATTCAAACATCAAATTGTTGAAAAATGTTCCAATAGAATTCTACTGGTTTCACTGCTTAACAAATACTCATGAATGAATTGAATATAAATACTTGGTGCATTTTCAGCCTTAATTTTTCCCCTTTTTTATGCACAGCGTGGACAAAACTTAAAACTTCAATATATATATATTCAATAATGTAAGATAAAGAACATTAAGACTGAAACCAAATGTCGGAGTTGAATTTTATAAATCAACTAACAATACAAATTATCTTTATAACCAATGTTAGTGATAATTTGATATAAGGTCCCAAAACAGATAAGAAAGTGAAGTTTATTAACTATGCGGTTTGGGTTCATTGTTGAAGGCCGTACGGTGTCACCTTTAGCAGTTATTTTTTGTGTTATTTTGTCTCTTGTGGAGAGTTGTCTCTTTTGAAATCATACCACATCTTCTTTTTTATATTGTATAGTGTATTACGAACTAAAAAAATGAGTAAGAGATATTAACAAGAAATAATATGTAGGCCTAAGTTTAAATAGATACCTAGAATTAAATATACTTTTCTCTGTATGTGTGATATGTAGTTTTATGTAAAAAAATTGGAAAATGTAGAAACCGTACGTGTTCAACAGACGGAATTGTGTTAAAAACTTTATGATGAAATGACTATTAAGTTAAGTGGAGTTTTGTTACACTCTGGATTCTTTAAAGTTTTGACACAACATAATGCAGCTCCAATTCTTCCTTATCATAATCAAACATCCTATTTGTTAAAAGCGGAACCACAAATAATTACAGTCTTTCGCAACATTCTACCTTTATCAAGGTTGCGGTTTTATCTTGAAGGTCAATATCAAGTAATATTTTTTGTAAACTCATTCAAACATTGGAAACCGATGCATAGAATAGCATGCGTAATTACATGGTTGATAACGCCACAAAGATAATATCAGTATTAGCTATTGATAAAACACACACAATTATATATATGTTACTTAAATGCGTTTAAAAAGGTAGATCTGAAGATCTCGGGGCCACTTACTATGTAATGAGTGGTAGTGATGAGCTAAAATAGGTCACTATTTCATGAAAAGGGTGAGAAAATCAGATTGAATACATCGCGATCGATAGGTTGATATAATCACTTGCTTGATTATATTATAAGTATCTGATACTAATTATATGTCCGTATTTATTTTTGATGCGGCTGCCGTAAATACATCAGCTATATGTCAAACCAATTAAACTCTATTTACTGAAATCTGGTATTTCCACTGATGCTATTTATAGATGCAATAAATCCGATCATTTTGATATGTGCACCTAATTCACATTAAAGGTTTGTTTACATGAAATATGATAACAATTATTTAAAGAAATTCCTATTACAATAAACCATTAGATTTTAAATTATTGACTGGTGTCACCTCTGATAAAAAAATGTGAAAATTCAGAGAGAAATGCCAGAACGTTTTGAAGATGATTTTTGTGTGGCATATATATTTGTGCATCTAACGAACTATGAATTGCATGATTCTAGAAAGTATTAAATACCGTATAGGTTACAATAAACCATTAGATTTTAGGGGCGCCGCCATTTTATGAGCATAACTTGGTATTCAGAATTAAGAGTATAGCTAATCATGATTGGTTGATATGTGCGCCCGTTATTTTTTGTTAATAGAGACTTCGTGCATTCTGCATTATACCAAAGGCCAAATAAATTATTTTCCTTAGCCATAACGGAACTGAGATGTCTTTTAAACGTTAGGATGAGACACGTATTTTTAAGTGCAAAATTGATAGGCATGGGAGATATGTACAAATTACGCTAAGAAAAGCAACGCGAACCTATATTTTTTGGACCAAAAAATACTGTCCTAATAACTTTTCTTTAATTCTAGCAAGGTTTCGTTAAAAAAATCAACTTTCTAAAGCCTGTATCTCGAAAAAGGCTATCATTGTCGCCTATGGGGAAATTAATTGTTTATTTCAATCTTTAAGAGGGAACGGCAAAGTAACTTTTTATCCGTTTTTCATTAATATTAAACTCAATGAAAGCGTTAGCTACTGTCTGGGCTGTTAATTCATTTATCTGATCAAAAATCTTTAATTGTCTTTTGAAATTAAAATTTCTTCATAATAAAAGATATAAAAGGGGTAATAGAGAAAAGTGTTAAAGAAATGACGAATTTATTTGAAAAGCAAGGTGTTATATTTGGAATAAATACTCAATAGTAATTATTTCGTGAAGAATATAATTATAATCTACAACATAATTATTCTTCCTATTTTGTATTTTGGGACACTGACAGGAGGAGAGGGTATTGCAGAAAGGATTTAAAATTCGAGAAAAAAGGAGTATTAATGGATGGGAGAAAAAAAATCCTCGCTAATCCATAAAAAAAGCAACTTAATTGCTATTTCTTTTTTTTCGAACTCAATAGTGACGAACATTTCATTAAAGGTGTGTTTACCCGTGTTCAGAACTTTTGGACGGGTTGTACTGAATGCAAAACTGACTGATACAATATTACGAAATTAAGCTGGCGGGCGGGCTGACATGCAATCGAGCAGGAGAAGAGGGAACCCGTTTTGAGCAATAAACTCCTAATCTCTAGTGCTTCATTAGCCCTTATTGGACATTGGAAATGATTTTATATATACTAATCTGTTAATACCTACACAGGAATTAATTTCCTTTATCTTATATTCATGTAAAATGTGACTGGTTCGATCCGTTGTGGACACTAGAAATCATATCATGTTCACACGGAGTAGTTTCTTATATCAA